GATCCCCGGAGGACAAGGTATTCCCTGTTATTAAAAGCAGCCAACACTGTAACCTATTCCTTTGGTATTTGTCCCACACTGTACCAAAGCCCAAGAAGCACAGGGATGAATGATGCAGGCAGGCTCTTTTAGAACGGCACCAGGTCTACCAGAAACTACAGGCAAAAGCGCAAAACAGATTGTGGGGGCGCACCACTGCTTTCTTGTCTCTTGGGTTTGATAACAGCATTGAGAAGATTTCTCTGAAGTTGTTGGTTCTGTATCAATAGAAATTTCCACTTTCAGAGCTCCCTTCCTAAGGACCCTTGCAGGTCTCAAAACATGTTTAAAGGGCAAAAGTTTCACAGAAAACTAGAAGACCTTCATACTTTCCCTTTATGTTATCTTTCCTCTGCTTTAGTTCTCACTAATTCTTTGAGGCCTAACCCAAATCTGAGATTTGCACGTACCCGGCATCTACTAGAGTCTAGACGCCACGCACTATGCGGGCTAAGCATACAGTGACCTCATAGAGCATCAGGCCACAACTGTATCTTAAGCCCCAAAACCAAGGCAACCCATCACTCAAACAAAATGGTGGCATACAAAAGAAAGACGTCCTCTCAGCACTTGCAAACCTGCCATTCATTCCTAACAAATACAGCTTTTCTGAGCCCGGGGATCATGAAAGTTATCAGGAGATTAAAAATAAATAAATAAAACAGAAAAGTCAACTGGTTCCAAAAGAAGATAAATGTGGTCATTTTTGCATAGGTTGAATATGCCTATCAAAGAGCCTGGAACTAAAAGTGTTTCAGATTTGGGATTTGGGGAAATTTGCATATATATTACATCGTATCTTGGGGATGGGACTCAAGCATAAATACAAAATGTATTCATGATTTCTGCTCACCTTCTCCACATAGCCCAAGAGTAACTGCTGACAACCTTTTTAGTTTGTAACTTTGACTTTTCAAATAAAACCAGGTATGAAAGGATCCACTTGTAGACATTTATAAAAAGTTTTAAGATTTCTGAGCATTTAGGCTTCTGGATTATCAGATTATAGATGTTTCCCCCAAACTACAAAATGCAAATGAAAGAAAGGCAAATATCTATTGCAGCTTGTCTCATCCAAAACTGAATTCCCACAATGCACTCTCGCAAATCAGTTTTACCTTAGAAATTTGTGCAGCTTCAAAACATTATTTATCTATATAAATATATATTTCTCAAACTCTGAACTACCCAGAGTTATGCAAATGACAAGAAATGATGGCATGAAACAGTTTAATTCATAAAATGCACTGTGCATCATCTTAACGGCAAGGCAAACAGAAATACATGAACATAAGCATATGAATCATGCAAAAAGTTATTAGGGAAAATTTTCATCTTTTGAATTCATTTTTCCTTATTTTTAGTTCAAACAGGAGCTGGCTGTTTTCTCAACATATTATAATCAACAATAAAACTAAAAATAACAGAGAAATGACTGCGTATAAACTTCCAGTTTCTGCCTACTCCAGACTATCAGCTCTTTAAATCCTGTTCACTGTAAAGAGTTATGAATGTAGACTTATAGCAGAAACATGTCTGTGAATAGACTTCTCTTCTATGTTGGCCAATGCACTTGTCATAATTTCCCCAGCTTTTAACCAAGGGCCTCATCTGTTACTTTTCCTTCTAGGTTCTCATTGTTTTCTGAAAGTCCAACAAGCAAAGATCTTATTAAATATATGTAATTTGCTTCATTTTTTAAATTTGTTTTTCTAGCTATAACTTTGATTCCCTCCTTTCAATCCTCTAGAACTACCCAAGTGTCATGATTATTGTTAGTTTTGTGATGGCACAAATACAGTCAAGGCAATAAACATGATGGTGTCAATCACTATTTTCTGCTCCAACTAGTTTATGGTGGCTGTTTGTTACCTGCCAGGCCCATCATGCATGTGACCCCTCATATGTCCAGTGAGACAGTGGGAACACCTGGTACAGTGTTCCATCACAGAAACTAACCTAGATCTATTCCCACGACGTCCTATGAAAGCATCAATAGACACTGCGGGCATTACAAGCATCAAATGGTACTCTTCTGTGTTGAAGTGTACTCGTCAGAACCACAGGCATACATATTTTCACTGAACTGAGGGTAATGCTATGCACCATCCTCAAATAGTTCATGGGCATAACCTCTTACTGTTTCTTTGGGACATCAATAAAAAAGGGAAAAATACTAAAGCCCTGTGGTTCAGCTTTGATTCCTAAAAGCCAAATAGTCCTAGCAGTGAAAGGCTTTGACTACAAACCTGAGCCATGGCCTCCAGGATAAGGTTCTTATGTCTGTAATTAATTTTCTTCGGTTGCAGGATAAGGACTCTTTCAGACCTCAGACCTCAATTTCTGATCATCTAAGTTCTCAAAGTTGGGAGAAGTGAATAAGCAGTTATAAATCATTTTACTGCCTGTCTGACTACTTAAAGATAGAAAGAGTATACAATGAGTATAGTGATTTTGCAATTATCATGTTACTTCTTTTATAAAACCCAACGGTATAATTCAAGACTTAAAGTAAGTTTTGGCATTAATTGTTGGCTTGTGCATCAAATCCACATGAACACAGTTAAATTCCCTTTTTATTTTTCCTAAGAGGAAACCTGACTGCCAAGAATTGCTCCAGCTCCCTTTAGCAAGCAGCATGTCTTTTAAAAATTTAAAAAAAAAAAAAAGTGGAGGACCTTCTGACTAAGAAAAATGCATGGGCTGTGTGTTACCGGACCTCCCCATTAAAATATAAATCACCGCAGCTCATCTGGCTACGTTTGAGGCTCTCAATATTTTGAAACACCAACTTCCAAGCTTTTCAAATAATTTTGCATAGAATGTATGCAGCATTTTTCTCCTTTCACGAAGCTGGGCTTATTTTCTTTATGTCTGAGTAACACCGCATTAACAGTTTCTTCAGTGGCACTGTGAGTACACCTGTTTGCCAATTCAAACAATTTCTAGGGAAACAAACATTCTATTTAAACAGGAAGAGCCAAGAGAGCTGCATTGTTTGAACAACCAAGGGAGAGTCCCCTTCCTTAACAAACTGCAACAAGTATTCACAGCAGAAATGAGCCAGCAGCAAATGACTTTTCTCAAAAGGAGCCTAAAGGAAACTATTCCAAACCCAAACAGCCTTTCGATTTTTCACCAGATAATTTTTACACACTAACATACTCGACTGTAAGCTAAAATGCAATGTGAAAGGTGAAACTAGACACTGGGTGATGCCCATGTGCTTTGTACAGACCCCTTCCACAGCATACACGTAACACCCACACTGAGGTGAAGAATAACGACTGGGGTTGGTGCTCGCCGAACCTGACGAGTTGATAGACTCAACACAAACAGCGCATGAGGATGTATACCCTCACACAGGAGCGGAGCAGCAGGCTCACCAGACCCCGCCAGGCATTCACTCCTCACCCCAGGAATGGCAGCTCTAACCATGCCAAGTGGCTTGGTACTGGGAAATGCTACTCTGACCTACTTCTCTCCATCCTACGAGGAGACTGCCTAGAGCTGGTGAGAGCTCCCCCAACCCAACATTCTATGGACTCCCTAGAGGGTCGGGCTACCTGAGGGGCTTCTCTGAAAAGCCTTCAGCAGTAAAGGAACCCCCCCAAACGCACTCAGGAGAATGATGATGCCACAAAAGATGCTCATTTGGTACTGAGTTTTCCAAGTTGGGAAAGAACACTTAAGTCCGATCCACTTTGAAAATTTTAAGCACGTAATACGGTATGGTTAGCCTAAGGCAAACTCGCAGTTGTCCACCTATCCCGAAACTCAACGAGTTGCATCCAATAACTACGCAGAGTTTTTAACAGGCTGAGCCTATTTCAAAAAACAAACATAGATAGGCATGTCTGTCGTGGTAGGAGGCATGCTGGGAAAGTCACAGGGCACGGCTTCCTCCGCTCTACAGTTTTATCTTAAAAGTCAATTCAAAAGGTTCTCGGTTTTTCTAAAAGAAAGGTCTCATGTGCTGAGGTTACTATTTCGGGACAGTAATAAAGGACTGTCTACGCGTCCTTTGGGTAAGCTCTGGTCTCGCCGGATCTCAATACCATGCCACCGGCTAAAGAGACTGATCCAGATTTCTTCAGAGCCTTCCAGGTTCGGCACTGCAATAAAAGACTCCCTGCACTGTTTCTATTATACACATTTATCCAATTAAGGCGACTTAAGCTGTTCCTTTTGCGTACGGTACAGAACATCAGACTTCTGGGGTCCTGTTTTAACACCGCCATGGTAGACATTCTGCCTGACAGAACTTCCTTAAAATCTCTGGAGAAGGAGCCATGAGCAAAACATTCGCTCTGGTCCTTCCTCTGTTATTAAGAGTGGACTTCATGAAGCCTGCCACGGTCCGGAATAGTCACTCCGGGGCACCTCTCCCTCGGTGTCAGCATGCCGTGCCCCGACTGTTTGGCCACGCAGGAAACTTAGCAATGCAACTTTGCTTTTGATTCAACACAGAAAACGCCCGGGTAGAGATTTCTCTGTGGCAGGAAAGTGTCCCGAGCTCCCTCCACCTGCTTCATCTAGCTACACGCTCTCAGCCTGTCCTCAGGGCAAAGCCCGGCTCCAGACACTCCGCAGCAGCCCAAATTAAAGTTGTTGGGAGTTGCACTGGAACCCTGTCCCAACCTAATCTGCTCAGGTGCAATTACTGCAGGGCCTGCAAGGTGGGATCAGCTGTTGGGTCCAGGTCTGGAAGACGGCGAGGTGCAGCTGACGACAGCTCCTGACAGCTCAGGCCAGCTCTGGCTAGCTCCGGCTGGGGTTAGAGACCTGAGCGCTCCAGCCTGCCCCAGACTCCCCTCAAAGACTGACTAAACCAGTGTCCAGCCCTGGCGGAGGGACAGCTGCAGGGGCCCCCGAGCTCTCCCGGGAGAGGAAAGCGCCCGGGGGGTAGCGGTTTGGGGGGCGGTGAGTGGCCGCAGGAGGCTCCCAGTCCCGCCACTCACCTTCTGCTGCCTCCGGGCCATGTCGGTGGGCTGCTTGGCGTTGAACGGGTACGCGATGCACCTCACCACGAAGACGTAGAGCTGCAGGCGGAGGCGCCGCTCCTGCTCCTCGTCCAGCTGCCGCTCCGGCTCGTCTAGCCCCTCGCTGAGCACAGAGGGGCTCGGGCTCACGGGTCTGGCCGCTGCGCCGCCGCCTCCTCCCGGGCGCCCCGGTGTGTCCCGCCGCCCTTCCCGAGCCGCGGCCGGCGGCGCTCGCTGGGAGCCGCCCGGCGCCGCCAGCACCTCGCGGCTCTCCTCCTCCAGCCCCTCGTCCGACTCCTCCTCGCTGGAAGACGGGTCGAGCATGGTGCCGGCCGGGGACCCTGGGCTCGGGCCGCTGTCCCCGTCCCCGCCTCGGGCTCCTCGCCGAGCGCAGCTGCCCCCGCGGCTCGTTGGGAGCCTAGGACCGCGCGCCGCGGCCGCAGAACGAAAGGGAAAGTGGCCCGGGCTCTCCGGACACGTCGAG